TGTCCGGTAGGGTCGACTGCTTTTCGAGCACTTGAACGGCATATTCTTGCAAGCCTTCACTCTTGAGGAATTCCACAAGGTCGGCCAGGACCTCCTCCGACAAAGCTTCTTGGTTGCTCAGAGCTTGAACGGCTGCCTCTCTGTCGAAGAGACAGATATTTTTGCCTTTGAGGAGCTTGACTAGGGCAGATAGAATTCCCACTTCAGTGACAACCCCGGGCCAGTCAAGCGTACCTCCTTTCGCATCTATATCTGACACCCTCTCTTCATCTGGAAGCAATGAACATGAGTAAGGCAAGGACTTGCTCTCTTCATTTTGCAAACATGGGTAAGCCGGGCCCTCTTCTGATGCGATCACGTGATGGGCGGTAAGACAGAGACATCGAGTCGCCTGCGTAAACAAAGACGGCCAAAGATTTAGCCGTGTGACGACTCCATCAACCAGGTTAACATGCAAATCTGCGTTTGAGCGGCGCTTAACAGGCAGGGCTCACTTGTATGTATTGATAAGTACGGCGAATGAATGGCTATGAGCTGTGATTCCCGTGTACTTGAAGTGACTTTTGCCCACAGAATGTTTCGCCCTGAATCCAGACGCCTATCTCATGACACGTGCGTTCCATCACAACCAACACGCCGAATACTGTTTCGGAAGCGGTGTTGTAGGAGGCATTCGCACGAAGGCTCTACGTCTTGGTTACGACGGGACCACATCTCTGCCGTCCGGTATGACCCTGCGGCTGGATAGGTTGCGCGTCCAGCATCCTTTCCAGCAGCATGGATTGCTTCTTCTATAGAGAGCAGCACGATGCAGTATGCCCCATCCTCGTCGTTCAGAAAACACACAATGACGTCCATGGTCTTGCCGTCGCTTGCCTACCTAGAACAGCGACACGAGAGGTTCTGATTCATCGTCGGCCCCCAAGGATACTGCCAGAAGGGCGGTGGCGGCATTATCTAATCAATTCGAGTGACTGCCGAGAGCATGGGCAGCGTCACATGGCACGCGCTGATCTTGCTCCTTCAACAGATCTGCGAGGACGTCCATGGCTGATAGAGATAATGCCGATTGCTTTCCTTGCGCTTCAGTAGCGCATCGGCGTGCATCGGCGTCCTCGTGCGCCCAGTATATCCGTATAGTCACAATAGAGGCATCGACGTGGGTTACAGAGAACAGTATTTTATTGAAAGTAGGAAATTGTACGAAGCTCGCTCTGAAATAGAGGGCGGAAGTAGCTGTAGATCTCAGGGCATTATGTCATCAAGACCACGTGATATCGGGTCGGGCCACAGATGGTTGAAGCCATCACGAGGAGTATCAAACGAGGGCGACCGCAGCCAAGTCTGGCCCAGTCCTTGCGTCTTCGGCATGTCGTATCACGGTAATGGCAACCGATCGTATATGCTGGTTCTGGTGTTTGGAAAGTTCGACAATGCGGTTCAGAATTGTGTCCGATAGAGTCGACTGATTATAGAGAACTTTGGCGGCTTCGTTTCGCACCTCTTCGTTTTTATCCTCAAAGAGATTTACAACAGCGGCCACAATCAAATCCGGTAGATTTGCTTGTTTCTGCAGAGCTTTAGCGGCGTAGGCTCGCACACAGCTGGCCCTTTCTTCATAAAGCTTTACTATGGCATCAACAATCGCCGTTGGTTGAATAGTTTCGTCTCGCGGGAGACCGAGATCTGCGGCCCAAGCCGTTACAGTTGACACTGGCTGCATGTTCAGAACTGCAACAGCATTGGCTCGCACGCGACTAGTCCTATCCTCGAAAAGTTCCCCTATGGCAGCGATAGTCGCCTCTGGAAGAAACGTCTGGCAGTGTAGAGCGGCGACTGCGCGGCGTTGCACGTCGATGTCTTCGTCTTGAAGGAGATTGACAAGATCGGCCAAAGCCGCCTCTGGAAGAAACGTCTGGCAGTGTAGAGCGGCGACTGCGCGGCGTTGCACGTCGATGTCTTCGTCTTGAAGGAGATTGACAAGATCGGCCAAAGCCGCCTCTGGTAGTTTCGCTTGTTTGAGGAGAGCTTCAGCAGCGTTGGCGCGCACGCGACTGGTTCTATGCTCGGAAAGCTCCCCTATGGCAGCGATAGTCGCCTCTGGCAAAGTTGTCCGCCATTGTAAAGCGCCGACTGCGCGGCGTTGCACATCGATGTCTTCGTCTTGAAGGAGATTGACAAGATCGGCCAAAGCCGCCTCTGGTAGTTTCGCTTGTTTGAGGAGAGCTTCAACAGCGTTGGCGCGCACGCGACTGGTTCTATGCTCGAAAAGCTCCCCTATGGCAGCGATAGTCGCCTCTGGCAAAGTTGTCCGCCATTGTAAAGCGGCGACTGCGCGGCGTTGTACGTCGTTGTCTTCGTCTTTGAGGAGATTGACAAGACCGGCCAAAGCCGCCTCTGGTAGTTTCGCTTGGTTGCGGAGAGCTTCAACAGCGTTGGCGCGCACGCGTTTAACACACCTTAGAAGCCTTACTAAGCCATCGACGTCGGCCTTTGATAAAGCTGACCCACGCCGCAGTCCTTTAGCCAAGAGATCCTCCTGGTATCTAAGTTTACGAAGAGCGACCTTGGCCACTCTTGGCAACCTGGGTTGCTCGCTCAGAACTACAGCGGCACCGTGACGTACGCGCGAATCCTCGTGCTCCAAGAGTTTCACAAGAGCCTTCACGGTTGTATCCGCGAAAAATCCCTTATTTTTCAGAACCTCGTTACCCAAGCATGATATATGGTATTCGTGATTTTCGAATAAGTCCACGGCCAAGGCCTCAGCCTTTTCTGTCAAGGACCAATTGTTCACTTGAAAAGCGCTGTGAATGAATCTGCGATCCTCATAATCCCAAGTCCTCGCGAGACCCACGAGAAATTCAAGAGCTTCACCCGAGAGGTGCCTCCCAGAGGTCTCCAGAGCACCCATGACAGCTTTCTTGGAATGAGTATGGCGTAGAACATCGAACAAAATGGTGTCGGGAAGTTCTGGGTCCGCTGCAATCATAGCCGAATCCATGCGATGTCTCAAATATCCTGAAATTCGACTTTCCCTTGAGTTCCGATCCTCAGGTGGCAATCGAAGCGCTTCGCTCAAACAGTGTATGAGCAGCCGCACGCGGGGAGGCCCCGTAAGGTCGCGAGGTTCCTTTCCGATCGCATCCAGGAAGGGGATGATCTCGTGCTCCCCTTTCGCATCCAAAAGCCCCGAAACAAATCGCCACATGACATTGAGTTGCCCGAGGTCTCTGTTGCTGGAAAGGAAGTCTAGTGGAGAAGTCTCGATGCATCTTGCGTTTGGGAGGATGTCATCCTCGGAGAAAAGAGCCTTCTTCGTTGTCCATTGCCTGGCGAAGTAGCTCGCGGCGAGGAACATTCCGATTGTTGGGTGAATGAATTGGGCGCCTTGAGCCGATGGCTTGAGGACAAAGGAGGGTTCAAACGGCTCATGGCCTGGCTCGGGTCGGGTGCGTTGGCGAATGGCGTCTCGATCGTCTGACTGAGATCCAGCCAGATTGCTGCATGCCCACACGAAAGCCATGGCTTCGAGACGTTGGATCTCTCTCTTGGCGTGCTCCTCTATTGCAGAAAGTGGATAAGCTGGAAGCAACTCCTTCCATCTCTTCAGGTCCTTCCTCCAAAGCCGCTCCGTGATAGCTTGGTAGACTTGGGTGAATGTGTCTGAGAGGGGGCAGTCTGCGAGAGTGTCCTCCCAAACAAAGCAAAGAGCGTCTAGCATGACTGGAAATCGAACCAGGCCCTGTAGTAGCGGGCTTCTCCGGAGGAGAGACTGTACTCCCTGAGATACGGACCGCGGCACGCCGTCCTCGTCCAGATAATCCATGACAGAACGAAGACTCCAGCCAGTTGCCTCCAATTTGACGTTGGGGGGTCGAAGATCATAGGGGTATGGCGTGTTTGGCTGGGTTGTGATGATGACATCTGTGTGGTTCAGCAGCGCGAGGAGGAACTCACGTAGGCCGCTCTCGCATTGCATGTCAAGTAGGGTCAACACTTCTTCAAGCCCGTCGAGAATGAAAAGGGTTTCGCGGAACGCGGAGCCCTCTTCATAGTGTTGCGGAGCGCTGGAGGAAGAGGTGTCTCCTGGGCATTGTTGACGGTAAATGTGGTGCAGCATCTCCGCCAGACCGTACCTCGGACCTTTCCATATGACCAGGTATCGCAATGGGACCCAGACGACCCTGACAAACAGGTCTCGCCACATTTCCTCCCCGTAAAAGGCGCGCACGACCTTCTTGCACAAGGTGGTCTTCCCCGCGCCCGAATGACCGTAGATCAGTATTCGTCTTTCCCCTTGCTTGAATAAATTCGACAGATCCACCGTGTCTTCCCTCTTTGATGCAGGAATCCGGAGCGGAGAAGAAACGGGAACCGGGTCCGAAATCTTGAGCCGGACCAGGTTTGTATCGCATCGGCCGACTGGCAGAAGATTGCCGCATGGCCGTTCGACATTCAGCGACAGTTCAGCGATGTTCGTCTTCCGTATCCACGAATCTAGTTCTTTGAGTGATTCGGCATCAAGACGCGGCTTCACACCGCGCCCATTTTCCTGGGTGTTGAGAGTCGCCGCCATTGTGAACTCTGGATGGCCCGCGAAGCAGTCTGGGGATGGCGAGAGTGATGGCTCCTTTGCTGGGCGGTCTAGGAGGTGATGCGTTGCTTGCGGCAGCGGCTGCAGACAAATGAGCGCAGTAGGATGGGCTCAGAAGAAGTTGAATCATGTCGGAGGGGTGGTGAAAGGGTCCTGGGACGTGTTATGTATCTTTCACCTGGCAGTGACATGGATGCCGAAGCGATTGGGAGTGACGGGTGTCGGCCTGAAGTCACGACGGTGGGAGCCGCCAAGTCCGCCAGGGCACTGCCTGAGACCACCCATCACCTTCGCATCACCGCAAGGATGGCGAGTTTTCGCCGATGTGTTGACAGCCTATAGGTGAGCCTT